TATTTTAAGTTAAACAACAAAAGTATGTATTTACAAAATAAAAATCCTTTATTTTCAACCAAATTAAAAAAATATAATAAGTCCCACAAATGTTTAGGTAATGACTATTGTAAGTCTTATTTCACTTACATATAAAAAAGAAAAAAAATGTTAGGAAACTTTACCTTTAATTAATGATTTGAAATTAAGATAAATCCCAACTCAAAAAGATAACCAACATTTGAAGATAGTTATTAGATGTAAATACCATAACATGTTTCAGTACATTGAATTACAATAACATAAAACTATTAAAAACGTTTTCTAGACTCAGTATTAGTGACAACATACATCCAGAAATAATTTAACTTTCTAATTATGCAGGAGTGCAAAGAATCAATATCTGCATTAAGCATGAAAAACTACACAAAATATAGTAATAACATTTGTTTAAGAGAGAAAGTGAATGAACTAATATAACTTAATTATGTTACTGTATATTTATCAGAAGAAAACATGACTAAAAAAATGTTCTGTGTAAGCATTGAACTTCCAGCATAATCAGAAAAGAAATATATTTCAGTAGTATAAAACATGAAGAAACACAACATAATGAAAAATGCTATCAAAATTAAAAGATAACAGAAGTTCATATGAAGAATAAGCCACAAATAATACCATCTGTGCATACATATTTTAGTTACATTCTATTTTACCCTGAATTTAACAATAAACTTTTTATTCTTAAAAGTAATTAACACAACTGCAATCAAGCCTCACTTTCAAAGTTTAATACCTATAATTGGTATCTGGTAATAACTAAAGCTATCATTCATTGGCACAATCTGATTCAATTCATCCAAAAGTAAAAAATTAAGCATTCTGTAATTATGTACAAAATTAAGTGAAGGAGGAGATGTGATACTTCCTGATGTTCTTCATATATATATATACACATATAACTAAAAGTAAATTCATTAAATCAAACTTTCACATTTATTAATCACCAAGAGATATATTCATTATATAGAATAATTTTAATCAATTCCACAAAATATAATATTAAACCATAAGTGTCTGAGAAAAACAACAGCATTTACTTGCAATCTTGTAACACAGTCTCAGGCTATCCCACCAGACATACCAAGTTTAACACAAGGGTTTAAACATGTACATTTAATGAACATATTTGTTCTATCACATAATATGCCTTCTATTCATTATATTAAGCATTAAATTAATCACTTCTCATTGTTAAACAATAAACACTATTCAATTTAGTCTAACTTTCATGAATTATGGTAGTTTGCTTTCAGCTAAAAACAGAACTACAACATTACAATAATAAGTACAGCCTCTGTGATGATAAATATTACTACTAAATACTGAACTTGGATACAGGTTTTTGAAACTATAGCAACATTGATCTTCTTTCTTTTTATTTACATACACTACATCTAAGTTAAAATCTTTTCATTTGAAAATAATTCTATCATAAAGCTAAACAAAGATTTTTAGATAAGTAATTTGAAAAACTGGAACCCAATTGTCAAAAATTCTTAATATATATATATATATATATATATATATATATACTGTTAAGGTTGCTATGCTTAAAAAACAGATCAGTATATCGGTCAAAATTTTGTTCCATTATCCTTACTGCAATTCCAAACCATTTTTATACTTCCAGTTTTCCATGCTCCAGATAACTTTGCGTTACTGTTTAATAAACTTTGTTAATTATAAAACATAATAAACACTAAATCAGACTAGATGGAACAAGATCTCCCTACAACAAATAAATGTAAGATTAAAACAAAAAAATATATCACTCACAAAATCAAACATTTTTAAAATGAAATATGAATATTATATAGCTTCTTTCTTGCTTTCATTTTACTTGTGTATGAAAAATAATGTACTTACAATTTACCTTATATTTTTATACCTGAAACATTTTTTGCTGGAAAATACTTGCATAATACATTTAATTTTCAAAACTATATCACACCAAATAAAGTCCAAGTTAAAGCCACAGATAAGGAAACTGAATGTGTCACAATGAATGAGCACAGCTTTATCAATCATGTAGTACATCTAATGCACTATACAATATTTTATAAGTTTTGCGATATACAAAACTTGTATACATTTGGTAACAAATTTTAAATTTTTAGTGATAAATACAAGGAACAAGGCAGTAGCAGTACGCAACAAAGTTCAACTCTTTACGTATGCAAGTGAAAATGCAATTAAAAAAACAACTGTTCACAGTGAAGAAACCAGTAGTTTGCATACTTTTTCACCATTATTCATGACATTCTCAAAATATTAATTAACTATAAATGAAACAAATAATAATTTTTAAAAGTTACCGACATGCTTTATGACTTATTTTTCTAAAGATAACTGCATCATGCTAAAGCACAATTTTGTTAATATTTTGTTTCATACTAATGGACTTATTCATAATGGTTCTACAGGTGGCATATGTTTTTTCAATTTCAGTGAATCAATGCTAGTTAGTAATTACTTATTATTCTAACCCTTTATCTTGTGAAATCTATTTAACTGATAATTCTTCTGTATATAACAAGAAAAAATCCTTATACAAGAAGCTTTAGAATGTTTTCAAACTATCTTTTTATAAAATAATTACTCATGAAAATAAATTAATTCGAAATCTTGTGGTTACATAGAATTTGACTAATGCCAACTTTTAAAGGGAATTATACATCCTTCAGAATCCAGTAGCTTGATTTGAAGTAACTTTATGAAATACAAAGCCTGTGCTTAAAACAGAACCATCCTTTATGTTATGGAAGTATTCAGAGAAAATTTTTACCACATAAAGATCTTTATACAACAAAAATTACACCAACATTCATAGAAAAATCGTACTTATAAACTTCCTTGTTGCATTAAAGATATTTTGACTTAAGAATACATCTTTTCAAACAGTTGTTACTTAAAGCATATTGTTTAATAATCACAGTATTCAAAGAAATCCTTTTATTTTCTGATTTGAAAAATGTTACCAGAAAAATATTTTTATGAAGTTTTGATTTTACAAGCAGTCTCTGGACCCTATGGTTCAGGCTTATCGTTTGGAGCGATAACTTCATTATCTTCCTGTATTTCAGTGGGTGGATCACTGCTTAAATGTTCTTTTATCCCATAAACTAAAATATATAAGAAAAGTTTTAATTTTTTTTAGTGGAACTGTTCTATAATACACAAATACCTGCCTAGTTTTACAAACAAAATACCAAAACTATCCTGTGAATACAAGAAAAACCTCTCAGTTACACAACACCATGTAATCTTCAAGTAAAATTAAAATAAGAAACACTCCTTTCACAAAAATTGAATTTTTTGAATGAGCTTAGTACTTCCCCCTCTTAGACCTAAAAAATATGCTAAAGAAAGGTATTAAAAATGTTTTCAAACAAAATTAACAAACCAAAACTAACAAATTTAAATTTTAGTACCAATCTATTAATTTAATGTTTCTAACTTTAAACCCAAATGTTTAGTCTAGAGAAGTACTTGTTACAGTCATTAAAATGGTTTTTCCAGTTTTTATGAAGTCAGCTCAAGACATTACTTTTAAATAAAAAGTATTTTTCTTAATTTCAATTAAAAATATATAAACTAAGTAGTGTATACTATATTGAAAATCTTATTCTTCTGTTATTTGTGAATTAAGTTTCTTAAATGTTTTACAAAATAAATGCTTATCTACAATTTTTCCTTAGCAGGCCATAATGTGTTCAACTTCAAGCATATTTGATAAAAAGTTTAGCTTCTTACAACCAACTAAATCCTTATTGGAGTTAACTTGATAATTACCTGATGATTTTGTTCAACCAAGTTTAAAAAGTATTCAGATTCATCCACATACCCAGCTGGCAGAATGTCCTCCAGTGGGTAATGCAAACAGGAGGCTAAAAATGGCACTAAACGCAATCTTAAGTTGATTAGGTACATCACAGTAAACAAGATGGATGAACAACAGCAACGAATTTGTTAATGTTGTCAAGATGCAAGGAGTCTTGTTATAAGGTATAAACAACCTGTTCTGATACCCCCTTTAATGATTCAGTGTGTGCTAGTTATCAATTTACAGCCATAAACAGACATAAGCAGCAAAACAATAGGCAAGAAATATTCCTTAGAGCCAGTGTTTTAGGCAGGAAGGCTCTGTCCTGATATCAACATAGAATCTTTCAAGAAAATAAGTTATGTGATGCATCAAGGGAATAAATATCCGAGTGTCCCCTACTTGATGCAAGCAAAAGTAAAAAAAAAAAAATATACTTATAACAGTAGGTGTAGAAAATAGAATTTTCCATACATAAAAACTCCAAGGCTTAAAGCACCATAGGAGACAAGAATCCTCTGAAACGTGTTGATCCAAAACCCCAAATTAATTAGCTACCAAGTTTTTACGAACTTAGATTTGGCGTTGTGAATGATATACCCGAGAGAAATACAACAAACACAATGGACAAGAGAGCAAGAAGAAATCATCATCCATATAAATGTGGAAATCAATGTCAGTTGAAAGGAGATGATCAGTTAAGGCCTTAACAACTTGAATGAAAATAGCCATGCCAAAGAGAAATGCAATGAGCTGGTAAACTACCTCTCAGTGGTAAAAACACAGAAGATGGTGTGATGACAGATGAATCAGGGATATAAAAAATACCTTTGTGATGAACAATTTCTAATACTTATTTTTATAACAGGTCCAAAACATCTGAATTCAAAATTTGTAGAGAAAAGCTGGATCAGAAGGAACCATAAAAGATAAAAGGTGAAATGAAAGAGGAGTGAGACAAAGGAAAAACCAGATTGAATGATCAGTCTAACTCATGGATATCACAGCCAAGGGCTCCACAGATAAAAAACTGAACCTAGACAGCCCACAAATGATCCAGGTGAAGGATATGTTTGGAACTGAAAAAAGTTATTTAATATTTTAAGTAGAACCACCCCATTTGTTTCTACACATGGCAGGTATATTGAGGTGAAAGGGACGAGCAGTAGATCGAAAAGTAGAAAAAACCAGTTAGACGGGAACAATGATAGCCTGTCAGATGTCTCAAATGGGACGATAATCATTAAAACATTAAAGGCTAGAATCCAAATAAGCTCCTACTGGACCAACTCTTGAATACAAAGCTAAGCAAATTGAAATAGAATTATGCAAGAAGTATGCACTTTCAAAGTTTTCTGAAATACTGGGGGCTAAAGTGTCAAAGGAACTTAAAAGCCATGTTGTAACTTGCATGAAATCAATGACAGCAAAAACTGCAAAGTACAAAAATGACTCTGAATAAACCAATAACTGAGCTGAAGAAGAAAGTCTCAAAATGAAATACTGACAAACAAGATAACCCTGTTAAAAGGCCATCTGTATGACAGATATGAGAAACATGGAAAAGGTTAACATCCTGCTAATTTTTTAATGCATCAGCAACAACCCAAATATTAGAAGGTGAATCATCTAACATAACACTATCAGCTTAGGTGAAACAGATGTACGTACCTCCGAATAAAAGAGTGGAATAACACCAGCAGAAGCTTCTTCGTGATTAGGACTAACTGGCTTCATCAAAAGACTGGGTTTATTCATTGACACGAGAAAAAGATGGGTGTCACATAAATTGTGTGTCCACACAATCACATACTTGTCGGGGACACCAACAGGTGATTGGCAGAACAAAAAAGACGAAAAGTTTACGTACCGATTGTCAACAAGAAAAACCTGACTTTTGGTTGGATAACAAAAACTTGTGTAGTTTCTCTAGTGCTTGTGCAGTAAGTTACGTAGAAGGTGGGAGAGTTGAGAACTTTGGATAAGGTGATGCATTGTGTCAAGAACATTCCGAACAAAAAGTCATATAGTTGTTAATAGAATGAGAACGACTCAACAAGAAAAGGCTTACAGTATTTCAGTTGTACATACCTGTTGAAATTGACTTTAATTCTAAAAATGTAAAAATCTTTTTGCATTTTGTTTGCTCATTAATGCTCCCTTTTGGTTGAATAGAATCATATGGAAGTTATCAAGTAAACTCCACTAAGGGTCTAGATAGAAACAGCCTCTTGTTTTTTTCACATGTATCACACTTGAGTTGTTTTATAATTTTTTGACACACACACATCTGTGCCTATTAGAAATGTTAATTCTAACACAAATTTATTTCCAACATAAATGTTAATTCTTGTGTGTGTGTAATCATTTATTACCCATGCTAGCTATTTTAGATGTGTTGTCACATGAACACATTTGGGTGCCAAAATTCAAACAGTAAAATAACAGGTGCTTCAAAAGTCACTTCTGCTATTCTGATTACTGTATTCAGGAAACTGATAGCCAGAGCATTGTAAAAGTTGGTTTATAAACCAATGTGATCATGGTGTGTTATACTGACATTATGGTCATACAACATAGCACCAACAAGTATAAAAACCATTGTCCAAAATCATATTCAAGTTGTTTAGAACAAGCAAAACTGGTCTACATTATCAAGTTTCAGAAATTATATCATTGGTATATTGCAGTATTCTGAACAGTAGAAGTGACTTTTGAAACACTCTTGGGATCTAAAAACAGCATTAGTAAAATCGCAAAGATATTTTTTCACTAATAAAGATAAAAAAAAACATAGCAAACTGTTGTATCAAAAGCTTAGATAAATTGTGTTCTGACCACTGCTGTGTTTGTTGTATCCCAGTTGGCCTGAAGAGCATCGTGTGATAGAAATACACTCTTATTATACACACTTTTAATTCTTGACAATTTTTTAGGGACCAGATAAGGAATGATGTAGTGTTTGAAGTATAACAGGCTAAATACTTATGTGAAGTATACTTGTAATCAGGATTTGGTGGCTTGTAGAAGACATACACACTATAATTGTTGTTAAAAAACATTAGTTGGTTAATGATCTACCAATACAAACACATAAATAATGTACAACACTTAATTAATTCCTAAAAATATCTTAAGAGAAATTTCTACGTAAATCAAGCCAAAGCACAGAATAATAAGTAATCAAATTGTATGCAGAAACAAAAAGCAGCAGAAGATTTGAAAATGTTAGTACTCCTTAGAAAGGATAATTTTCATGCAAGAAAGAGATAATAAAAGAAGGGAGATGTGCTAGTTTTAATAGCGAGGATCACCACCAATGAGAGATAGTGCCTTTGAAACTATGGTTTAGTGGTGATAAGGTTTACCAAAATTTCTACTTACAGCGCAAAAAATATATGTGACTTTTACTGTTGTGAGATGTCCAAGTCAGGACTTGTGTACTTAATGTATGAAGTCCGCTGCTGCTTCAAAGGCACCGAACTGGGACCACCATAAACTGAAATCCAAATTGGACTTAAAAGTAAAATAATTTTACACACAAAAGAAACTGGAGTTCAAAATATTATACAGAAAATCTCTCTAAGTTATTACTAAGGGATTCAAAATTGTCATTGTATAATGATATAGTTTCATACTAAATTATATTTCACTATACCAGCGTATAAAGGATATACTGTACCATTAACATTCACAATCTGACACGTTGCTCTTACATATGACCATCACCATAAATCTTAAAAACAAGAAATCAAAGTATTCTTAAGCACATCATAAAATTATGTTTTTATTTTTTTTTAAATAAAACTGATAAGATAGGTGACCAACTGTCATTATCAGTTACTATTCAAGTTGTATCTCAATGAAATACCTCGAAAAAAATGGTGGATGTTTACATTTCATCCAGAGATGTGCTGTTGTGTACAAAAAAAAAAGGTTTTAGTGTATGCAAAGAAGATTATAAAAAGTCATTTAATAATTTTTGACAACTTTAACTATAATAACAGGTCATGATCTTATTTGAATATTCTGAGTCTTTACAGTATTATTTATAAAATGTTCACTAGCCTGATGTGTGATTATTACCTAAATTGTGTTGAAATTAACGCCAGTTGTATTTCAATAACTAGATATACTAGAATACAACAGATTTGGTATCAGCATGCAAAACTGGTATACATCTTTGATGAGAGAAACAAAATTTTGATTTTGTCGAGAAGCGTAATCAGATAACCCTCAAAAAGTTCCAATATTTGATGAATTCATGTTTTTTGGTATGATTTCACCATGTCTGTCTGT